AGTATTCTACACCTTCTCATTTACTATCAAGTCTTTTAAAGCGATATTGAGAAATAATCTGAGGTTTGAAGTGAAAAAGTAATACCGTTTTTGAATAGCCGTGAATTCATGTAGAGGATACCTTTTGATATGAAAGAGTATTCATTAGAAAGCTTTAATGGAGTACTTTCATTTTAGTCTAACAACGAAGTTCGAGTTTATTATAAAAATCACGAGATATTTTAAAAAAACTTCATGTGACACGAATTTCGAATTTATTTTCACATATAGAAAAACAGCCTCAGGGAAATGTCACACAACTAATATTAATTGAGATAAATAATTAGTGTACATGTCGATCAAATAACAAACTTCTTTTTTTTTAAAAATGTCATCAGGAAACAAAAAAAGAAGCAAAGATAATAATTGGGAAGCAGTAGTTGGACAAGTGTTTTAAGGATGGTGGTGGTTATTGCCTGCCATTTGTTGTTACTCTAGTTAATGTGTACGCATCAATCATTCACAAACTTCTTTTATTATAAACATGTCTTCAAGAAACAACAAAAGAAGCAAATCAGACAATTGTGATGAAAGAGAAAGGTAAGCATTTTAGGAATGGTGGTGGTGGTTATTGCCCACCACTTGTTGTCACTCTAGTTGTCATTATAATTTTTTATTTTTTTCCTTCATCAACCCAATTAATTTTTTTCATTTCTAAAAAGTGTCAATTGTGATAAAAAAGAAATAAAAAAAAGGTGATTAAAGAACAAGCATACAAGTAAATATTATAATTAGTTATTATAAAAAAAAAATAGCAGTTATTGCCATTCTAGTTATTTATGAAATTTGTTTTTTATTTAATTTCTGAATGGCCATCAACAGCTACTCCAAAATGTAAAATTCAAGTGATGACATTTTTAATATTGATGCTGAGGAGGAGATGACAGAAAGATTATAATTGATTGTTTATATAGACCACAAGCTAACATAGCTATTAAAAATAATTATCATTTGATTTCAAGTAGATGTGCTTGTCATAAAAAGGAATATGATTTGGCACTTATTATATTAGGAGTTGGTGAAGTTAAAAAAGACATAATATCTGGTATAACTGTGGAAGTACAAATTGCCATAGGTACAGATGCAAGTGGACAACTTGTACTTAATGAAATCAACAAATCACTTTTGAGGATTCTCCTCATAAAAGCTATTTGGAACAAGCAAAAGCAAGGCTTGAATCTTGGGTAAAAATCAATGAACCAATTCTTGGCACTTATGAATCTAATGTGAAACAATTATGTAAATTATTTTTACCCTATTCTTTTACTTATTACAATAATTAAATATTAATAAACAAAATTTATTATTCTCTCATTTAAAAATATTATTATTGAAAAATAATTAATATCCTATAATTCTTACTAAAACTAGGGATGAGAAAAGTCCTAGGACTAGACCAGAGGACCTGGTCTCAGTACCAGGACCAATGCGGTCCCAATTCAAATTTTGGGCCACAGTCCCAACTGGTCCCAACCAATAAATTTTTTTTTGTATTTGTGCATGTGATAGTAGACTGAAATGACCAATAAAAATCAATTATGCTTAATAAAAAAAATTTCATTGAAAAAATAAAAATAAAAGTAACTTTTCTTTCTTGATGTTTATGATTTTTCTTTCTTCTTGGTAGATCTCATAAGTAATCCTTTCTTTTTTAAGATAAGTTTCATTTATTTTGAAAATATAAGGAGCAATTTTTTCACCTTGTTCTTTCTTCAAAATACTTCTAATGGTGCTATAAATTCTTAGGTTACATAGTAGATCTGATGTAAATTAACTTCATATTAACTATTTTTATATAGAGGTAGTTCTATATATTAAAATAAAAAAATGGGATATTATAAAACTGATAATTATAATCACATTGCAAATGACTAAATTTTGATCCCTGAAATTCTTGGTAACACCAATGTTCACTTTGTCTAGTTTTGTTGCAGCATGCCCCATATAAAATCTATATAAATACACAGAATTCTATGTACAACTCTCAGTAATTTTCATGTAGTTATAATAATAATTACAAATTTGTAGATTTGCAGTAAATAATTATTTATCTTGAATTTTTTTAGTAGGAGAAACAATCTTGCTTACAGTAATAAATTGTTTATTTTTGAAGAAAGAATGACACAGAATAAATTAATAATATTAAGTTGTCATGTGGCAATTGTTCTTTCTGTTGTAATATTAACATACACATGTC